CATCGCACATCAATACTGTCCTCCTTTATTCCGATCTCCCCCGCCAGCTCCCCACCGCCTCGGCCAGTCCTCCTTACCGTCCTCGATCAAGCGAGGTCAGCCGGCCAGCTCTTCGTTGCTGGGGGTCGTGCTACCTCTACCTGTGCCTGACAACGACGTACCTTCCACCCATGTCCCTCGCTCGTTGTCCTCATCGCCGCCGCCCGCACACGCACCCTGGCTCACGCCCCGCGGCCGCAATCTGATCTCTGCCATCGAGGCGTTGCGCATGCCGACTGCCACGCCGCCGTTCATGGGCTGGGCAAACAACAAGCCGATCACGCTCCGTCCACCGCAGCCGCACGGCAGCCTGGGCATCACCGCCCTGGTGGTCGATGCAACGTCGTCGTTCTTCGTCAAGAGCGCGCTGCGGTTCCAGCTCGCCATCAAGCTAACAGCGGAAGCAACAACGCCCTGTCCTGCTCCGCCCAGATGAATGGGACATCCGGTTGCTCGACGACAGCGAGCACATGCCATCACCCCTCCACAGACTCGTCGTCGCCAGATCGCGCACACTCTGACCACATCCATGCCTCAGTCGGACACCAGCCATCCCCTCTCCCATCGCCAAACCCGAGCCGCACATGCCGCGCCAGCTCCCAGCAAACGAGCACATGGCCACACACACACACGTATGCTGGACATCCTCTCCAGCCCGATCTACCACCTCACCTTCGCATCGGCCTCCAATCGCCTCCTCAGCCACCCATCCGACGCCCCCAAGGCCGACGCTAAAAGCCAACCACAAACGACCCCGATCCCATGGGCCTCACCTCCCCCGAGTCGGACGACCGCAGATCCCTCGTCGGCGAGCTGGCTGCCATGAACCCCCACTGTGCACTCAACAAAGCTGATGCCCGCCTTCCATCGCCATCTCAACTTGCATACGACTGGCCGATCGCTTCCTCACCCTGACCACTGGTCGGCCACGGCCGCGGTTCTCGATGCATCCACCAACTTGAGCAAGATGCACGACCCGCCGATGGCGATCAACGCCTTGCTAGTGATGTTCTTGTCGTTTGGGCAGCCACCGACTTTGATCGGCACAAGGGCGCGGCGCTTGTACGCCACCGCAGCCACAACGACGTCGGCCGTCTGATCGCTACCGCGCCAAACGCCGTAGACGTTGTTGGAGAAGGTAACGGCCGGGCTCTCCGGAAGCGTCTCGAGCGCATCCTCGATCGAGTCAACAAAGCCGAGATGACCTTGAGATTTAAAGTCCATGATGGTTGTCAGCGCAGTTGTGCATGTACGTATGGAGGCCGTGGACGTCGGCGAGCTGTGGTTCTCGCCACATCGCACAGAAGGAACCGAACAAGGTGAGACTCAGCAATGCAAGCACCTCTATCCCACTCACAGATCAGAGCCCACTCACAGCCGCAACCCGCCGGATGCAGCCACATCTTGCCTCAATCACCCGATCGCCATCTCCTGGTCGGAACCCATTCTGCGACCGCTCTTCGCCCTCGCCCTCCACCACATGACTACCACGCACACTCTCATACATCGAATGCGGTTCATCCTATGCTGAAAATACCCGATCCCGTCTCGCTCTCGGAAGTCAAGCAGCATGAGGGCTTGGGTTTAGTACTGTGGGTGGGGGGGACCACACGGGAATACCGAGTAACGCATTCTTATTTCTTTTTGCCCAACTACACACCCTCCTTGCATGCATGCACCCACCCCCCCTAACCCCACCATCACCACATCAATCATTTCTCGTTCAATTAATCATGACCAGCCCCATCAATTAACTCTCATTCAAATAATCATACCTTCTCCCCCGGCCCTTCCCCCGGCACTCGCCCGATATCCAAAAAATCGCCCAAACGC